AAGGAAGGAAGGAAGGAAGGAAGGAAGGAAGGAAGGAAGGAAGGAAGGAAGGAGGTACATCACCAACCAGAGGAAGGAAGGCTTCTCAAAAGGACAGGGACAAAAATGTCTCATCCAGCATTCTGCTTCCTGCTGCTGTCAACCTCTCCCCACACATGGATGGCCACAGCATCTCCCAGTGGTTCCCCAAACTCTGCCAATGAAGGCTTTTTCAGAAGACTGAGGATAAAAATAACTACAGCCCCATTGCTCACATTCATCAACCATTCACCACTGCAGGCAAGCTCTTCCACCCACCCCTCTTTGTACCTGAACTACACTTACAATCTTTGTTCCCTCATTTCTACAGCCAGAAGCTATCCCTCTACCCCTTCTCCATCTTGGGGTGCCAAGCTCAGCCTAGTCCTTTGCAATGCTTGACTTCATGACGCAAGTTGGGGAAAGAGAGAAGCTGTCCAGAGGAAACCCAGAGGCTCCAGACTGTTTGTCTTCCACTGTTACTTGTGGTTTGTTAACACCTTCCATTGAGAGAGAGGGTCAGATCAGACCTCTCCAAGCCTGTCCTGGCTCCCAGGATGCAGTCCCCGGAGGTGAGATGAGAATTCCTCTGGAACACTGTGCAGGACATCCTCCTAAGAGAATCTCATAAGAACCAGGCAAAGTGGGACAAAGAACAAAAAGAGCCAGGCAAAGTCTCAGCTTCACTGGTGCCTTGGGGAGTTCTGAGCCTCAGTTACACCTCAAGGGTGTCCCACCTCCTGACACAGGAGCACCAATCTGTGGGATGCTTGGGATGCCCTTTGGGAGTTGGAAGAGAAAAAGTACTGGGTACTTTGTGGTCTCAATTGGGAAGAAAGCAATTCTAGTCTCCCGAAGGTGGTTCTCCAAAGAGAGTTCCAAGTAGGTGGGATGGGTTCTGCTTGGGAACATGAGCAAAGTCATGGGAAAGACACTGCTGAGAACTATCTAGTCCTCCGCAAGTTCCTATGTGAATCCCTGAGCTCCAGTGTGATGGTATGTGGGGGTGGAACCTCGGGAGACGTCTAGGGTTAGCTGGGGTCATGACAGTAGAGCTCCATTTGGGGAGAGACCAGGGCCTGCTCTCTCTGCCATGTGAGGACACAGCTGCTATCTGCTATCTACAAACCAAAAAGGCCTTCAACAGCACCCAACCACATGGGTAGCCTGATGTGGGGTTCCCAGGCCTCTAGAACAGTGAGAGACAAAGTCCTTCGCTTAAGCCACCCAGTGCATATGGGATCCTCCTACAGCTACAGAGAATCACATCTGCTTCCAGCCTGGGCCCCACAGTCTCTACCCCAGCCAGGCCCCAAGCCATCTGCACTTGATCTCTGCTCCTTACCCCTACCTCCCATGGGAGTAAATAATCCCCCTCCCCTCCCCATCAGTCTAAGCCCTTCACAGTGCACCAGGAAGTCACCTGCCTTATATTCTGGGCTGCCCAGAACCCAAACCATGTCTCACCTCCCATCATAGTTACCTGTGCCCTGCACTCCTGGGTTCCCATCCCTGTCTTGCCCTGAAGGCTGTGAAGTTGGCCTTGAGGGTACAGCCTTGCTCTCAGCGCCCATTGTGAGGCACCCCATAAAGATGGCCCAGCTGGGCCCCACAAAACTATGCCACCTCTTACTGGCCTATCAACTTTTTCTAAGCCAGCCTACCCATACCAGGCCTGCTGAGCCCTGTACCTCAAGAGCCTTCTCCGACCAAGCCCATCTGGCAGGACCAGCAAAGCCATTTCTTCCTAGCCCAGGACTTGGGGTGGGCTTTCCACACTATCACCTTCAAACGAACAGGGGGATCTGGTCAGCCTTTCCCCAGCTTTTCCCACAAAGGTTCCCCTGTGCCAATGCGTAAGCTCTGTGCCAAAGATGAGGGAAGGGGGAAGAAAGGAGAAAGAGAAAATGGGAGTATATCCAAGCTCATCCATGGGGCAATCCAAGACCAGTCCACACTGGTGAGAGGCAAAAATGGTTTCATATTGGGCCTGTGAGACTCTAGAGGAGAGAGATGGGGAGCTGGAGCAGTCAGGAAGGCTGCCTGGGGGAAGGGGAGGCCCTGAAGGACAGAAAAGAGCTAGGAGCAGGGAGGCCAGAGGGACCCCTTTGTGTGTGTTTCTCAAACTCTGGCAGAGTTCTCCAGGGCCTCTACTACCCCGTCTGCACCTCAGGGAAAAGCACCTCAGCACTTAATCACATTCCTCAAATGCTTTCCTCTCAGATCCTAACAACCCAACTGCTCCTTAAGCCTTTTAACCCCCTGCACCAGCCCTCTGCTGGGATTGGTTCTGAACCTGCTTTGTGGCTCTGGAAACCTCACACCTGTCCCCACTGTGTGCAGTTCTGCTCACAACCCCCTGACGCTGGGCTCCAGCCCTGAGCTACCCCCCAATCTGTGGAACTGAAGGCACTGGGTGGACCTGGGCTTTGCTGTATTTTCTGTCACTTTCTTTTTATTTGCTTTTTAGCATTCTATTTTGATATGAGGTGCAGTAATAGGTACATTAAAAGATACAGAAAAATTGGAGAACGATCAATAAACCCTTTGCCCACACTGACCAACAATTTACATTTAGTTCCCTTGGATTCATATGATCCCATCTATCTGTCTCTGTGTATTTCTGAACCACTGGAAAGTAAGTTTGAACCACGGTGCCTCTTTAACCCTAAATATACATTTTCTAACAAGAATGCTTTCTCACCTACCCAGTGTGCAGTTGCCAAAATCAGAAAGTGTGGTAGGATGGTGTTATGATTAATTAATGAATGGTCAACTTGAGTGGGAAGGCTCAGCTGAATTGAGTTAGCATGGTTCTGGGTGTGGAAGACCCACTTAAGGAGGATTGTTCGAATGGTACAAAAGGAGAACAGGCAGGGAGGATTTTATGCTGATTTCCTTCCCTTGTTCTCTTCAGCTGAGCTCCAGTCTTTGCCTTCACCAAGGAAGGCTGTTGTCCTCTTGGGAGGAGCTCTCGTCTTCACCTTCACCTTCGCCTTGAGCTTTGTCTCCTGATTCTCCGGGAAGATACTTCAGCGTCCAGCATGGGCCTTTCAGCCAGCCGGTGCACACTACCTAGCCTCTAGCACCAGCACTCAAGCTTCCGGCACAGATCCTTCAGTCTTCCATGGTGATTTCCTTGGCCTCCCGATGTGGACTTGCAGAGGACATTGCCTTTGGATCCAGGCCCCGGCTGGATTCTTTGAATCTCTATCACACAGACAGATCTCTTGCACTCTTCTGAATTTAACTCTGTGGGCAAATATTGCAAACTACTCGAAAATTTCTGTGTACTGCATGAAATCTGTTCTCTTGCAAACACTGACTATCACAGATGGCATCCCAGATTCACCTGTGTGAAGCCCCCTAGATCATTGGATTCTGCCTGCCTGTAGCATGGGGAAGGACCTGAGCAGCCCCATTCGGTCCTCAGGCAGGGAGGACAGCCTGAGACCTCCTCACCTCAGGAGCTGCAGCCCATGCAAAAGACATCAACCCCCTGCTCTGCAGGCTAGAGAGCAGTTTGGCCCCCTGACTGCCAGGGCAAAGGTGGCTGACCAGACGGGTTATAAATAACCTGAAGGGGGCGGGCTGTGGGGCGGTGTCATAGGCGGAGGCGGGTGGAGATTGTCCTGAGCGCCCAGGGCCTAACTCCTGGGCTGGTGGGGAAGAAAAGGCCCGGGGAAAGGAGCCAGTGGGGGCGTGGCCTGCTGCCCTAGGCGTGGGCTCTGGTCCCTAACCCCTAACAGTGACATGGGGAATCCCCAGGGGCCCCCAAGCTTCCTTGGCACCGCACAGCTCCTCCTCCTGTGTCTGCTCTGTCTGCTTCCACTATTCCAAGTAAGTGCACGGGGAGCCGGGTGAGTGCACTGAGGTCAGGGGGAGCTGGGGACTCTGACAAGTAACTGGGGTGGGAAGGTCTCAGGGCTGGGTGTCTGTGTTGCACTTGGATCCCCCCCAAGCTGATGCTGGGATGCAGCTCTCATGCCTGGGTCAGGGTGGGGGTCCAGGGGCAGGGAAAATCTGTCACCAGCTGGGACGGGGAAGGGAAGCCCCTAGGGATAAGCCTAGGGTTCTGGGGTGACACCCTAGTGTTCAGGACCTGGCCTTCCTCAAGACTAGAACTTCTTTGTCCACTTCCCATTCGCTCTTCTCCCACACAGATCCCCTCACCTCCCCTGAAGGTCCTCAGCCCTCTTTTCTACCCCAGATCTGACAACTAGACCACCAGAGAGTGGCTTCTATCCACTACCATAGAGTAGGCAGCCCTCCTGTGACATGTCCCCAATATCAGGCAGCCCCCAGTACCAAATGAGGCATGGGGCAGGGAGGTGTAAGAGAGCCCACTTCTCTGAGGGGTCCTCAGACTCTGGACTCCACACCCCAGACCCCATGGCCACAGTCAGGGCCTGCCTACAGGAGTTGGGTGAAGGGATTGAGGGCAAGAAGAGGTGGAGGTGAGGCTGGGAGGAGTGATTCCCAGAATCTACCTCTAATCCTCTCCCTGTTTTAGAGACAGGAAAATGGAGGCTCTGAGAAGATGACCTGTCATGGGCCACACTTTTTCTTCTGAAGAACTGCAACATTAAAATAATCCAGAAAGCAGAGAGGGGCCAGAGCCAGGCTTGAAGGCAGGAGACCAGCCTCAGTGTCCCTAGATGGACAAAGAGGATTAATTTGTTCAGTCATTCAACAGACAGGTAGTGAGCAACAGACAGGTAGTGGCAAAGCCATTCTGCTGACAGAACCTATTCAAATCCTCCCTTTGTCCCTTAACTTGTGACCTAAGACAGACTGCTCTGACTTTCCAAGCCTCGGTTTCCTTCTTGGTAAAATGAGTGTGATTCTGGTGCTTCCTGAATAGAGTTGTCGTGAGTAGTTGAGAGGAACTAAGTAAGGCACACTCAGTAAACACTGGCTGTGGTATTGTTCCAGACATGAAGACACTGGGGACATTGCTCTCCCGGTGGCCTGGAGGGGCTGGGATGTTGGTACCATGTTGAAGTATGGTCATTACCCAGTGGGCAGTTGCTCCCTAGATCTGCCAGGTCCTTTGAATGGCATTGCAGACAACTTGAGGGGGAGTGGAAGTTGTGGCGTGGTGGAGTGGGTTGTCTGCCCTGCACCTTCATGCCTGCTACCCCCCCCCACACACACACACGTGCACACACAGCTTGTCTTGGCAAGGATCCTATCACAAGACCTTGGGGCCAGGGTGAGCTTTGCCTTCTGTCCTCCCACCCAGACCTAGGCTGGTTAGATGAGAGAGCTCCTAGTTGCTACTCCAGAGCCCAGCCAGACAGAAAGTGTGAGGAAGAGTCCCCTGGGTTCTGGGGAGATCAGAACTGGAGACCTCTGAGGCCACACTCGGGCCCTGCTTTGCTCAGAGTCAGCCCAGTGCTGCCTGACCTCTCCCGATGACCCCAGCTTGTGACAAACTAGTCCCTTGCCCATAGTTATTCAGCACGTATCCAGCTGGAGAGGAACTTTCTGGCCCCTAAGCCCAGCCTTCCTCACCCTGCACCTTCGTGGTAATAGGATTGCTTTCTGCATCCTTGGCCAACTATTCTGAGATTTCTGATCCCTGGGAAATGAGAACAGGAGATGAGGAGTTGGCAGTGGGAGGGAAGGCAGCCCAGGAGGGACCTGGCTTCCAGCCCTCTCCCTATTCAACTGTGTTTAACAAGGACGAGTGGGGAGGATGCAGGCTGTGGAAACCCACCTATGGCCCCTGCCCTCCCAGAGCTTGTGGTCCAGAAGGAGACCTGACAGGATGAATAGAAAAGAAATAGCATATGTGTATGAACTCTGGAAACCAGATCTAAGACAAAAAAAAATGCCCTGATAGGAAGTGGGGGAGTCTGGTGGCAGGCAGCAGGTCAGCAGGGGAGGAGATGAGGCGGCCCAAGACAGACCTAGTCTGACGAGCACTGGAAAAGTTCCAGCTGGCAATCACCCTAACACACTCCATCCTGAGAGCCTGGACAGGATCCACCATGCCTTGAGCCCTCTGAGGCCTTTAGGGGCTGCAGGGGAGACCACACTTCTAGTTGTCCTGTGTCTGCCAGGTGCTCTGCTAAGTACCTTACTCATTTCCTGGGGAGATGACTTACAGACAGAAAATGGAAGTTCTGAGAGGCTAAGCAATAATAGGTGAGATGCTCCAAAATCCAAAACTTCTTTTTGGATTTTTGAATTTTTGAGTAGAGATGCTCAAGGCAAATACTCCAAAATCCATTAAAACTCTGTAAACTGAAACACTTTTGGTCTGAAGCATTTCAGAGAAGGGATACTCGGCTTGTATGTCCAAAACCCTTGAGTCTGACCTTTCAAGCACCTTACCAGGCCTTCTGCAAAGGCCAAAGGAGCTCACCAGCCTTTGTGGCTGGCCCAGCACCTCACTTTTGGACAGGGAGACTATGCCCCTGGGTCAGGACAGCACATCAGTGCCTCCTGCCCCAGGTCCTGACTTCTGGTGGGGCCATCTGCCCAAAAAGGCTCAGCAAAGACAGAAAGGGAGAGCAGAAGTCCTGGGCCATCTCTGCCCAGTCCCAGGTGCCTGGATCCTCCTGGATATTCCCAGCCCTCTTCACCCCACTTCCTTCCCACCAACACACACAGACATCTGCAGAGCTGGGGCTCAAGGGCCATCAGCCAGAAGCCAATTCATCTAATGACTTTTCCCCAAACTTCAGCTCCCTTTTGAGTGCTTTCTAACCTAATCAGCTACTTTGGTCTCTATTTTTGCCATTTCGTTAGTATTTAAGTATTTCTTTTAAAAAAAATTTGTCTGAGGGCATCGCCTACTCCAGCATTCCTCGGAAGTCTCAAATGCAAGTCTCAAATGCACAGAGCTTTACGAGTGATGCTGCACCCTCTTTGTGGTCATTTTCTACTTTATCTAATTGTAAGCATTTTAAGGCCCCTTAGCTAGTTTGGCCAAAGTCACTTTCTTCAAAATTCTAATTTTTAAGCTATCATTTTAAGTCCACAGGGGCGAGGGAAGAAAGGTTATTCAGTCCACTTATTTTGTTTATCTTGCTGGTCAACTACCCAGGCACACAGCTGCTCACCACTGTCTTAGGCACCAACATACGTCACCTATGTGAAGCATCATGACAACCCAAGGAGAAAAGATCTTCACTAGCCCCATTTTTCAGATGAGGAGGCTGGAGTAAGGTCCTGTGCCCAAGTTTACAGGGCTGGTAAAGGGCAGGGCCAGAATTCCAAACAGATCCTCTTCCCTTAACAAAAAGGTAATTTTACTGCCAGGCTATTTTTAGAACATTCAGACAGGTGCCAAAACAAATCAGAAGAAGGTGGCTATTAGGCAAACTGGACATTAGACAAGTTGATAATTAGGAAGGTGATTTTTGACAGAGTGACTTGTTCTAGGGGCTCGGGGACCCACCTCCCTCCCACTGTCCCTCCCCCCAGATGGCTCTGTTCAGCAGCCAGGTGAGGGAGGACAAAAGATAAAAAGGGGCTCAGGCTCTCAAGGGTAGAGAGAAGACAGGAAGAGGCACATCTGGAAACGAAGGGACTGGAAGGAAGTTGGACCTGCCAGACAGTGGTGCAGAGCTGAGAAGGCTGCTGAAAGCTGCTGGGGTCTTCGGTCATCACTCACTGTCCACATCATGTGAGTTAGGACTGAGCATTTAGAGTCTCCCCTTCCAGGAAGCTGGCCCAGATGCTCTGGAAAATAACTGTCCACTTCCTCTTGTGTCTTCTGGCGTCTCCCACTCTCCGCAGTTACTGAGGGACAGACTCTGCCTCGCCGCCTTTCCTCCTCCCCGTGATCCTCCCCACACCATCCTCCTTCCTCCCTCTGCTCTCTTCTCCTCTCCTTCCCTCTGCTCTCCCCCTCTGCACCCACTGCGCAGTGCCCTCTAGAGCTTGGCTCAATGGAAACCAGTGAATGAGAGCAGCAGGCCCTGGGAAGGAGCACTCTCTCTCCTGAATCCTTCCTTGACCTTGAGCAGCACAGAGAGGAAGCAGCCAGGGACTCACCCCCAGGTCTCGCCTGTCACTGGCAGCCTGGGCCCAGAACCCGTGGTCTAGTAAATCTCCCTAGCTGAGACCAAGAGCTAAATTTAGATGGAAGCTTGTTGCCAGGCCTGGGAGAGAGCAAGAGGCTGGGCCAGACCTCTTGGCTCCTGCAGGGTGGTACCTTGGAAGCCTGTGTGACCCCTGGTGCATAAGTTCTGGCTGGACAGGGCCCAAGGTGGAGGAAGACTGGCTGGAGGCTGGGCTCTGGCCTGCTATCTCCTCTCCCCAGCCAGGGCCTCCCTGCCCTCTTATAAGATAAATTTGTCCCATTCCAGGCTCATGGTGGCTGGGGTCAGGACCTGGGCCTTCACTTAGGCTCGCCTCAAAGTGAAAACTCAGCAGACAAGGAAACCTGAGGGTCAGGCAAATCTCCCAGGACTGGGGCTCCCAGAATTAGGGGTGAGGAGTACCTCCACCTGGCTGAGGGGACCATACTCTTATCCACCTAGTCAGTCAATCAGTCAGTCAGCAATCATGTGTTGAGCTCCTGCTGTGGGCCAGGCTCTGGGCTGCGAAATGGGAGACACAGATGTGGACCTGGGCTACGGTCAGGCTTGTGGGGATAGAGGGCAGACTTCTGCTCAGCCAGGAGCCAGTCTTTTCAAAGTCCAAAATGTTCTCATCACAACTTGGCACTCTCTTTACACACATTCTGACACCAAAAGTGAGGTTTCCTCCATACCAAGCAGTTTTTCAATTCACCAGCTGACACTGTCTGTGTGTGTCTCCACACTGTCTGTGTGGAGGGAGCCCAAAGCCCACAGGTGAAGGCCCCATCTGGCAAGGCCGCACCCTCTTCAGGTACCTCTGACTATAAATCATGGGTTCGCACTGTCACCAGCTGGCCCAAGTTTCTTTTGCTCAATTCAGATGGAAACCATCACATTGGCATGTCACTGGACAGAGTCCAAGGAGGTCCCCCAAAGAGAAGATACGGACCTCGGCTCACCATCCCACCCCAAGAAGTAGATTCATCAACTCTTATCAGAAAAAGAATTTCAGAACACACCACTGAGAGGCATGGGCAGATCTATTAGGCAGTTGGAAAGTACAAGAAAACAAAGAAGGGACTTCAGCTTGAGGAGTTAAAGGGAACACAGTTCTAATGAAGTAGAACCCATTAACAAAAGAATGGGACTAGCTCTTAGGGCACCGTTGGCATGGGGGCTGGTAACTTCTCACTGGGTCAGGACGATAGCCTTGTGTTTTAAGGAGTTCCCCCAGTGTAAGCTGTGGATCAGTGGCCGTTCTCACCCTTATAGATAGCCTGACACCCCCTCCCACCACAGCACACCTGGTCCTCCTAGGGAGCAGGAGGGGTGCATTTTGTGCATTGTTAGAAAGGGAAGATAGAGGAAAGGAGAAATATCCATTCTTTGTGAGTAATGGCATGGATTAAGGCCTGAGAATCCCTTGCATCCCGTGAGGGTACCTATTCTGTTTAACCACAACCCCTCTTTGGGTCCAAAAATGGGCTAGAACAGCACACAGAGCTCAGGGAAACATGTATGGTTACATTTTCTGGTCTATTATAAAAGATATGACAAAGGACACAGGTGGCAAGATGCACAGGGCAAGGTATGGGGAAGGGCACAGTGGCCACACCTCCTCTGGGTGCCACCCTCCCTGTGCTTCCATGTGTGTCCCAATCTGGGAGCTCCCAAGTCCCATCTTTTAGGAATTTCATGGAGGCTCCATTACTTAGGCATAATGGATAACTAACTCTCTGTCCAGCCTCTCTCCCTTCCCCAGGGGCAGGGGCTAAAAGTTCCAAGCTTGTAATCACAGTTTGGTCTCTCAATGACACTCCCATCCGGGAGTTCACCAAGAGCTGCCTCATTAAGAGAAAGATGCTTCCATCACTCAGGAAATTACAAAGGTTTCAAAAGCCCTGTGTCAGAAACTGGAAGCTAAGGCCAATATATTTCTTTTTATATCCCAATATCACAATGAGGGATACATGGGCTCATAGGTTACAGACTAAATTTCTCATCTCACTGTTCAGCTGGCTAGATCTGCCTCCTGTGACCCAGCTCTCCATGAGCTCCCCATCCCCACTCCATCCTCACCCCTGCTCTTGCATGGCCAGAGAAGGGCTTCTTGCTATTGTGACTTCCTGAGCACAAGAGCCAACTATTTGGGATTCTGGTCCTGTGTTAGTCAGCTTTCCATCACTGTGACAAAATACCTGAGACTTTGACACAAAACATAAGGAGAAAACGTTTATTTTGGCCTATGGTTTTAGCGGTTTCAGTTCATGGTTAGTCAGCTCCTTTGACTGTGGTGAAGTGGAAACACCATGGTAGGAAAATGTGGCCAAGGAAACTGCTTGCCTCATGACAGCTGGGAGGTAGGAGAGAAAAGAAGGAGCTCAGTGCCCCTTCAAGTGCATTTTAGTGACCTAACTTCCTCCTCTAGACCCCACCTCCTAAAGTTTCCACTCCTTTACAATAGCAGCACAAGGTGGAGACAAAGCCTTTTGACCCATAGACCTTTGGGGGACATTTAACCAAACCATAGCAGGCTGCTTCAGCCTCCATGGATGTCAGACCTTCACTTCCTCACCCAAGACCAGCTCTTCTGGTCTGTGTTAGACCAGGCCATACCCTACCTGACAGTATGAGCGTGAATTCTGCCTCTGTTCCTTACCTGCTGTATGGCCTTAGGAGATGACTTCACTTTTCTGGGCTTCAGTTGCAAATTGGAATTATTTACAGTTATTTCACAGGATGCAGCAAGGAGTAAATGAACTGTTTTATGCAAAGCATTTGGAGCTGAGTCCAGCACACAATATGCCCTGATTCCATATAACAGGGACAACCTTGTCCTGCCTACCCAGCTGTGCCCCTACTGGTACCCCTAAGCCAGATGCAACTGCCCCACACAGGTCCTGTGCCTTCCTGCCTCCAGCCTTTGCTCACGCAGCTCTGCCCTGGGGTGGCTTTCTCTGCCATACTGCCCACAGTCTCAGCTCCAAGACCCTTGGGTTCCTCCAACAAGTGTTCACAGCACACTGCACCAGCTGCACTCAGACAGAAGTGGGGGCTGTGTCTTCAGGGGACACAGGAGGAGTGCTGAGGGCCGAGAGGGTCCACACTGCCAGAGACTTCGGGAAGGAGGAGGCTTTTCCCCGAGAAGAGCTTTAGCAGGGCCTTCAGGTGCCCCATCTTTGAATTCTCTAGTGAGATCCCCCTAAAGTCCGTAACAAGAACCTTTATTGCTTCGTGACTTCTATTCACCAGGCTCTTGACATACATTCATCCGATACACACAAAAATTCTACAGGGCTGGTACTGTCTCTATTTTAAAGATGAGGAGACTAAGGCCCACAAAAGTAAAGTCACTCAGCCAAGGCCACACAGCTAAGAAGCAGCCTCTGCAGAACCCTGAGCATAGCAACATCTACACTCGACCCAGCTCACAGGCCTTGGAGTGGGACTGTTCACCATGTGCGCTCCCTCTCTCCTCCCTGCCCACCCATCTCCACACCACCAGGGGAACCACCCAAAAGAGCCATTTGCAGGTGTGCTGTGGGCTTAAACTGAGTCAAACCCACCCAAGCAGCTCTCTGAAGAGAATGAAGACCTCTGGTTGTGCCGCTTTTTAGATCAGCAGAGGGAGGAGTTTCAGGGGACAGAGCCAGGATCTGAAAGTTACCCCAGATCCACTTCTGATGCACTTGTCTATGTTGTCCAGGCCTGTGCAGCACCCATGGGTGCTTAGCCTGGTGACCTTGTGCAACATGCACACTACCAATCCCTTTCCACTTTGCATCCTTCTGGTGGCCCCCAAAGTGCCCTTCTTCCAGGAAGCCGTTTCAGCCTTCCCAGATCCAGTAAGGTGTCTCCAGTGTTGCAACAGCCTGTTTACCTGCATGACAGGAAAATTAATTGAAGTCACATGCTCCTCTCCTCCCTTCTGATCCTGCTAAGTCTAAGGCATCTCTGCCTGGCCTGGGACACCCTGAGGACACTCGTGGGTCCCCCAGCCAGGTCCCAATGCACAGTTGTGTTCCAAAACATTTGCCCAGGGGATGAACAGCTGGTAGAGAGCCCCACCCAGCTCTGCCGGCAGGACATGGGCACTAGCCCAGGGGCATATCACATTCTGTGGAAGAAAAACAGCTCTGGGGGTGAGGGACAGACCCACAGAGTCCTGCCTGGGATGTACTACTACATGGAACCATGGGGGTCTCCCGAGGCTTCAGCCTAAACTGGGCCACGGCTATGCCACATGGCCTTGCCTCAGCTTTCCTGCTTTCAGAAGAGGTGAAAAGCATGAGGGCCAAGTGACACAAGAGTGCTGGGCAGGTGTGTGCTTCTGATGGCCAGTCAGCCTGCCTCTGACCCCCACCCCTGCTCTCCCTAGGTGGCCAGGCTGAGCCAGGTGCCCAGAGAACAGCCCCTGTGGTCCCTGCTGAAACAGTACTGCCACACCATGGTATCGCTGGATGACCCCGTAGGTATGTACACCCCCACCTTGAAGCAGACCCCGGGGGTGAAGGGCCCACAGCCTGGGTGGGAGAGCGGGTGGGGAGGTACCAGTTCTGGGCTGGATTCACCTTGCTAGGTCTCTGTGGGGGCCGCAGGCTCTTCATCAGTGCCAGAGGACTTGGCAGGGAGCCCTCCTCTTGCTCCTAGCTTCCCATGGGCACCTAAGGAAGGTGGCCAGATAGGCATTTGGGAACCAGAGGAAAAATAACCACTCTACTCTCAAACTTGGGTGGCAGGTAAGGACTGGCAGAAGGTGTGAAACCATCTCCGGTTGCTGTGGCTACAGGTGTCACCCTGTGCCCTGTGTCTTAGATACTTCTCTCGTTGCTGAGACAAATACCAGACATCCAAATTTAAAGGCAGAAAGGTTTATTTAGTTCACAGTTAGTAGAGGTTTCAGTCCATCATAGGCTGGCTCCAAAGCAGGGTGGCATGGCAGGGAGGCATCACAGAGGAGAAATAGTTCATGGCGGGCAGAAGCAAGCAAGAGGCCTTAGAAGCTTGTTGTGTTCCTTTTTATATTCTGTCTAGGCTACTGGGATTAGGGTGGTATCAAACCAATCAGTGGACTGACTTAGTCATCATCCACCCTCCATCATCTTGTACCCTTAATCCTAGCATGGCACTATGAATCAGTCACACACTCTAGATTCAGCTCTCTGAAAAAACAACCACCTATGACATCATGAGGCTTTGGGGAACATCTAGACATGAGCCATAACATCCTGCTAAGGACCTGAGAAGCAGCAGTCAGTCCAAGTTCTGAAGCCTCTGAGTTTTCCCATGGCTGATTTGCAGGTCTGAAGGGGGAGCTGGACTCATGGCTCTGGGGAGATTTCTTTAGGGCCCACCAGGTCCTAGCCTTCCAGTGGCTATGTTCACAGGATCTGCAGCCAAGGAGGAGGGTGTTCCTGGGTGTTAGAGCAGTTATCAGGACTCAGGTGGCAGCCTGAGTCAAGGGTGGCAGCCAAGCCTAGGGCCCAGCATGCAAAGGCAGCCTGAGGCAGGGATCAAAGAAGAATGTCTTGCTGCCTGGGCTCTACACAGTAGGACAGCCAAAAGCTCAGGTATTTCTGCCATCAGCCTGATCCTAGCTCCTGTATGACCCTGGATAAGTCCCCTATATTGGTTTCCCAGGGCTTAAGTAATAAAGTACCTGATCAACAGGAATGTATCTTCTCACAATTCTGGAGCTAAGTCCAAGACCAGGGTGTTGGCAGAGTTGGTCCCCTCTGAGGCTTTGTTCCTTGGTTTGTAGATGGCCATCTTCTCTATGTGTCTTCACGTGTTCTTCTATCTGTACTGTCTTTTCCTGGTCTTCTCTTCTCATAAGGACATCAGTCGTATTGGATTGGGGCCCACCAAGGCCACATACCTGAGGTACTGGGAGTTAACGTGAATTTGGAGGGACACAATTCAACATGTAACACGGCCTGAGCCTCAGTTTCCTTATTTGTTAGAAGTGAAGTCCAAGTCTACCTCAGAAACTTAATGCGAAGGTTAAATGAGAGACCATGGGGACACCGAGAATGGCGATGTCCAGCAACCACTAGATAGGAAATCGAGGCCCTTCACCTCAGGAAGGCCCCAAGTTCCCACACCAGACTCTGCCCTCAGGCAATGCTGGTCTAGACACCTACCACCATCTCCCTACCTGTCCCCTCCCCTCAAGCAGGTGGCCCAGGCCCTTCTCTGTCGCCCTTGCCATAGTCTAATGGACAGAGTCCTCTTCTTCCAACCCAAGCCCTCCCCTGCTTAATTTCTGACATCATTCATTTATTGACAAAAAGAATCTATTTATTTATATAAAATTGGGGGGGCTTTTAAATCAGATAAGTCAATAAATGCTCATTATCCCACAACCCAGGATTTTTATCATGTCTTATATCCCCAAGAGTTTATGGATCCATATACCTTCATGTCGGCTCCCCCAGCCCAGCCAGGGTCTTCACACTGAGCTATAGCCCCAGTCCTTTTTTGAGACAGGGTCTCACCAAGTTGCTAAGTTGCCCAGGTTGGCCTTGAACTTTTGATTCTCTCGTCTCAGCCTCTCAGAGCTCTGTGATTACAAGTGTTCACCACTATGCCTGGATTCAAATTTTCTTTTGTTTGTTTGTTTTTTGTATTTTTTTTAATAAAACCAGGGTGAGGCAGAGTCCATAGATTTATAACATGTCTTTTTCTCTTATAACTCAGAGTAAACATTTCCTCATATCATTAAATATTCATCTACCAGATCACTAATGACGCTAGGGACACTGTCTAACAGCCACTGTGGGGACATGTCTTTCTCCATCAGCCAGAGGTGGATGTGTGAGCTTTTAGGATGCCCATCAGGCCTAGAAATCACTTCTCAAGTCCCCACGTGATAGTGGTCTCCTAGCGGCCACCCATTGAGAGAAAGCATAATGACTAGTATCAAGTTCAAAGGCAAGTAAATCACTCCACTGTTAAGAGATGCATACCTGTGAGAAATCTGGAAAACATGGGAGTGAGAAAATAGAAAGGCAACATTCAAGAGAAAACTCCCTCTGGGGAAGAAATATATAGATAAATATGTAAGTGATTAGTAATGAGCAAGTTTCAGATTGGGCGGTAGGCTCATTACAATTACTACTGCACAAACTTTCATAAAAGAAAAGACCAAAATAAAATAAATTTAGGCCATGTGTGGGCTAATGATGACAAGAGTACATGAATCAAAGACTATGACCAATCCAGCTCTATGTCCTTGAGGTCCAAATAATAGAAAAGTGCAAATAATCACAAGAGTGAGTGGGACTTCAGGCAGGGTTATAATGGGTGAGTTCTATTTTATTCATCACAAAGGCATATACATATATTTGAAAAATAATAGGGCATATATCATGAAGCATACTATTTATTCTGTCCATAGACAATAAGGATCTGAATGGATCCAAAGATGCCTTGAAAGAATTCCCTGGGCTGGGGATGCAGCTCAGAAGTAGAGCACTTGCAGGCTGGGGATTTAGCTCAGTGATGCCACAACCTGCCTCACAAGTTCAAGGCCCCGAGTTCGATCCCCAGTACCAAAAAAAAAAAGAAGAAGGAGGAGGAGGAGGAGGAGGAGGAGGAACAGAAAGAAAGTGGTAACTCCTGAATCCAACACATAAGTACGCACACACATGCTGAAAAGAAGAGACTGCCTTGACTGGGAGACAGGGTCCTGCACTCACCCAGCTCTGTGCCCAAGGCATCTGTTCTTTCTGTGTGGTCACTGAGTCTGAGCCTGGAGTACGTGGATGGATGGCAGGGCTGATTATAGAATAGGACTGGTCCTGTCCCTGGAGAATCACATATCAACAAGATAACGGAAAACCCAGCAACCCAGGTGACATAAGCCAGCTGGAGGCTCCAGGGCAGGCCACCCAGGCAGGACAGAGGTGGGAGAGCATGGCTGAAGGGTGAATAGGAGTGGGCTGGACTGACTGGAGAGTGGAGCTGGAAGGCCTTCAAAGCCAAGGCCACTGCACTGCAAAGGTGCAGAGGTGTAATATGGCCTGAGGGAAGGATAAGATGTTCTGAAGGGCATCTCAAATTTAGCAGGTCTCCGGTGAGGGATAGGTGAGCTTGAAGAATCTCCTTTGCAATGCCAAATCAGCTCTGTCCTCAAAGCAACAGGGAGACATTCTTGTAAGAAGAGTGACATGACTGTAATTGTTAAAAGTCTCTTTGTCTGTCATGTGGGAGAGAGAGGGAGCCTACTCAGGCTGCTGCAGAGATGAAGACGTCCTGGTAGGATAGGAGAGGGACATTCATTTTCCTGGGTATCCTATTGCCCATTAGTTAGTGGAAAACACAGACTGTGATGGTCACTGAGGGCCTTTCATGAGCCCTCAAACCTGGCCCCATGATTGAACATGAAGATACCATGCCGCCCTCTCTGTCCCAAAGTAGAGAGAGAGTGTCTGGCCTGGAGCACAGCCCCCGGCACCCAGCAAAGAGCAGGTACCTTTAGGTCCCTCCTGAGTCACTGTGCTTATTGCCACCCTCCCCACACCTGTGCCTGATAGAACGCTGTCTGTGTGGTCTCTCAGAGCACAGCCCTCAGAGATTCAAAGGCACATGCTGTCCCCATGAATTTTGTTTTCCAGCTGACACTTGCGTGGTGGGGATGAATATGGTCAGGACATAGGACAGTAACACTGTGTGTGATTCTGTTGTATTCTTCTTGTAATGAATATTTGATGCCATGTATTGGGATGTTCAGTAAGCTAGTCCAGAACTGCCTTCAGCCACTGTAGCTGGCAGCAGAGGTGAGCCAACAGGGGACACAGGGCACCAGGGGCTCATGACACACAGGGCTCCTCTGCCACGCTCCCCTGAACTTATTTGCCACCTGTCTTTGTCCCCACTTATCTGAGGACTCCTGAACTTCTCAGATACACCCACCCCCCCCGCACACCTAAATGGGCCTAGAACTCCTGGCCTGCACCTCCACCCCAGGGGCCTCCCAGCTACCTGGGCCTCCTTAATAAGCAAAAAGCCCCAGTTTTTACCTCTTTGTAGTTGGATTTAATCTAATTGAGAAAAGTGTTGTCTCTTTCCAATTGTTTCCTCATTTATTTATTTGCAAACACTAAAGTGAACTATAAAATTAATTTGTCCCCAAACTGTTACCTTTTCCACTTTCCCTTCTGTAACATCTAAAGTATCAATCACTTGAAGCTTGGCTCAGTTTTCCCCTTGCCCATGCTGTGTCATGGCATGTGAAAGGCCCTCCTGTGTGCACCAAGGAGTCTTTCCCAGTGACAGGAGCTGTGGCGGTGGCACTCTGTTCTCTGTGGAGCCTCTGTGGCTTAGTCTGGGAGCTGGGAACAGGACTCTGCCTACGGCTGGGGTCAGGATCAGATCTCAAGCTGGGGTTAGGACTCAGCTTGTCCTCCCCTGTTCCTGGCACTGCTTTCTGCCGCGACCAAAGTACCTCTGCCTCTGTAGCTGCCCAGAGCTGAAGCAGGGCCCTAGCTGTCCATTGAAGAGACAGAAGACAGATCTGGCTGACTGCTCAGCACTTCATCCTTGCCGGTTGGCAGGCCCTCGAGTGATTGGCCTACTGCTCACTCCTTCTCTCCCTCACTTGCTCTGCCTGGGCAGTGACAGCAGCATTACTATGAAGGTTGGTAAGATTGGAACATATAAAGGCAGCTCCGCCCACTCTCCATCTCTCTCTGCAAAGGGGCCCAGCCGGTTTGGGGTGGTTTCAGCCTTCTGTGACACCTTTGGTTCCCAATGAAGATGTGGGGGCAGGGCTGGTTCCTGGGGCCTCCAGCCTAGTTGGAACTGGACCCCAACTCTCCTGCCTTTAAAGAAATACAAAACAGATGTACACATATAAACATACACAGAAGGCGGTGGGGTGCTTGCAGAAGCAGAGATGAAGGGCTGGGAAGGGCCTCAAAGAACATTTCACTGATACAGAAAGCCCAGAAGACACAGCAAGGCCCCTGCCTAAGGTATCATGGCAGAAAGAGGAGAGTCAGTGCCAGGGCCAGAGCCAGGGAGGCATCCCCCACTCTGGCCCTGCATCCTGAGACTGAGTCCATGCAGTGGGCATGGTTGGCAGCCCCCCCCCCAGCACTGTGAGGGTACAGGCAGAACAAAGTACCAAGCAAACATCTAGGGCGCTGGAGCAAATTCCCTATGAAGGATTTTAACTTCGCCACACCAGCAGAGGGGCTTCATGTCTTCCCCTCTCCTGGTGCAGAAGCCAGCCAAGTCCCCAAGACAGACAGATACATCTGCAATTCACACTTGTTCTCCGTGCCCCAGGCACAGGGTGTTTGAAGTCTCTCAGTTAATTACAACCAACTAGTCCCCCTTAGGACTCCCTATCTCATTAAATGACAGTATTGATCCCTCAGTCACCCGACTTGGTGTTGTCCCTGATTGTCCTGAAAGCCACCTACCCACTGGGCTTTCCCTCCTCACCGGGTTGAGTGCCAACTGGAATACGTATCTCCATCCCAGTTTCCACGGCCTCCGCAGACCTTCACCCATCAGGGCCGCTTGGTCTCACTGGACTCTTGGTGGCCTTCCTGCTTCCCTGGAGTGTCCCCAATCCATTTCCATTCCGAAGGCAACAGGGACTTTTCCAGGGTGTAAATATGCAGAGGGACTGTCCGACCCCACCCCTCTCCTGCGCCATAGCTCGGGCTGGAGAAACAGGCGGAGAGCCGCCCAACTTTGGCTGAAAGCTGTCCTCGGCGCAGGAAGCTGCAAGAGTTACTAGCGCCGGAGCTCTTTGCTGGCCCTGCCGCCCTAGGGTCTTTGATCCTCGGTCGGGGAACTCCCTGAACAACCCCCGCCCAAACTCGCAGCCCAGCCACTCTCCTTCGGACTTTGCTATGGGAGAAAGCGGGGACCTGAGTAAGCGAACTCGGGCGGTGCTGTGGGGCCTGGGGCTGAAGGCTGAGCCCCGGGAGAGGAACCGCCCGGCCCCGCCCCCTGGCGCCGCCAT